GGCCCGGGGTCCCAGGGGTGTAAAAATATCCCTGCCAGTGGCTGTGCAATGACGTCAGCCAGTGCCTTCAGTACCCTCGGATGGTAATAATAATGGTGTAAATAAATCTTTTTTCAAAATGACCGAAACAGGTTTGAGATAAAACTGGATGGATGTAGTATCAGGGCTCACATAGAAGTACAGCTCCCCACTGTAACTGAGAACACTTTACAGGAAACATTCTGAGTTAAAACAATCCCCCAGGCCAAACAGAAGTTCACTGTTGGTTCCAGGGGGCTGGAATCTAGCTGCAAGGCTGCAGCCAGTTTCCCCTAGCAATGGCTCCTCCTCCCTGCCAGCCTGAACTGTTTTCAGAATGGGCGGGGGGAAAGGGAGCTCATTCTAGGGATTCCCCAGCCAGCATTGGAGGGTGAGGTGGGTGAATTGGAGCTCACCCCCCCTCCCCCACCATCTCCACCTCCAGCAGGGACAAAATAAACCCTAGACTGAACTCCGTCCACTCCCTTTCCCCCTCCTATCCTGAAAACAGGTTGGAGGCTGAGACAGGCAAACACAAGTTACAGAAGGTGCTATTGCTTTGAAATGTCTTCATCTGAACCCTCATGCAGTGAGGGTAGTGTCTGCATCCATGCACTTGTGTTTGTTCACAGCTATAGACCACTTTCTGTGGCCAGATCCAGCAAAAATTGTCACTTCTGTCTACACCCTCAGACTTAACTGACTTAAGTTAAATCAGTTTATTGAACTTCCATCCCAGATCCCCTCCAGATTCCAGTTAACTTACAGCCTCCCAGGATGCTTTGCACCTCCCCCTCAAACCCCACCTCAGCAGGGTGGGCGGGCTAGCCTGGGCCCAAACTGTCTGCTGCAGCACAGCAGGGAGGTGTGCTCTAGCATGCCCCACCCCCCCGGGCTTGTGGCCTGGGCCACTGCAGGAATGTGGCTGCATTTCCAGAATCAAAAGTGAATGTCTGTTTACTTGCTTATCTGTTCACTCTATTCAGTTTAAACTAACCTGCAAAGATTGAATTGGTTCAGCTTTGGGCTTTTTGACTGTCTGTACTTAGCCCATAAGCTTTTGTGAGCAGAAGCACATTTCATCAGATGCTATGGGAAGGTATTAATGCTTAAGTTTCATGATACGGATGCTGCATAATTGCCTAGATCAAAAGTGGGCAAAGGGAGTATATACTGCACTTCCTACTCTTACTGCAAAAAATATACTCAGAAAAATGGTAAAATGTGTTAGGACTCAGGCTTACAAAAGCCTTGCATCAAATAGGAATAAAAGCAGTTCCATGTGCAAAGAAATATTCATCTGAATTTCTAAATCAGCACTCACTTGTACTGGTCCCAAGTACACAGCTTTGAAAATTTGATGTTCTTATCATATCTTAAACATTGCAAACATTTTCATTACTGTTAGAGGACATGAACTGTGATTCAGCAAAAGAAAATTGAATCCCCCAATCACAGTATAAAACACTTTTAGTAGCAAGACTGTATGTGCACTAGAGCAAACATATTGGGTATTGGATACAAGCCCATATGAGAAAATTGGCATTTTGTAAAAGCGGAGCAATGGGAATAGCACTAGCAGCAGGAATAGTAACTGCTGCAGAAGCAAGAGAAGCAGGAGTCTCAAGAGATCATGTCTGGAAAACATACAGGAACTCCTGGCTTAAGCTCTGTTCCAACAAAAGCCAGGGCTTATCATCAGCAAAGCACTTCCAATGTGTAACTATTAAAGTGAAAGTTTTTCATTGTTTTGGAGAAATGAGAACAAAAATGTGGTTAATTGTATTAAAACAGCTGCCCTGGATCACTATACAATGATAACTCACTTCAGGCAATTCAGTTTTGATTCAAACAATATTTCTGCAACTACATAAAGAAGATTAATGTCTTCCTTTCAATACATATAGAGTAAAATCAGAATTTTTTTTTAAATTCACAAATAAAATCATTG